CTGAAGGAGGCTGCACTCTGGAACAGTAAATCGACTGCTACCTTAATGGCTRCAATTTCCGCTTGGAAGACACTGCAATAGTCAGGAAGTCTGAAGCTAGAGTTGATAGAGATTATAACCTTCCCACAAGCTTTGATGCATCCATAAAGAAGCTCACTGTCCTTCTCCTCCAACGGCTTTTTCCCACCCACAACTCTTTCSTCGGTATATKAGCAGAGAAGGAGYCGCCAGAGTTCGGTTTAACGATTCCATGATTCAAGTGATTTCGTATGAAGTCATAATGTGTGAGAATATCAGAGTTTTTAGATGTGTGTGGAGCCTTCTAACACATAAAGACTACACAGAATATAAATTGCTTGATTATTACCACTTTCGGTGAGAGACCCCACCTTTTGACAATGGCTCCTCTACAGCAGTATAATGCAATCGATACCGTTTTTGCTCTCTTTTCGGTATTCGATATTCGCCTTCCACAAAAGCTTCCCATCCATAATGAGCCCTGGATATTTCTTTGTATCCGCCGGTTCAGATGGATGTCTCCCATTTCTGCCAGCGCCGCCACCGGTATCTCATATCTTCTATGAAATGTAGTGCTGTTCATGACGAGAATACTTTCGACTGCCTATTTGGTTACGACTCCTACCCTGCTTCAACTCGTACATGGTACTCAGAAACTTTCCTTTAGCCGTAAGCGCTACATTGTCTGCATAGRCAATCACCCGGMAACCACAATCCTCGATCACCASAATCCATACTAGAGGACAGAGAACTACCCCTTGTGGGGGGAGGTCGTCAAGCGCATCCGTTGCCCCATTCTGTTTCAATCACTCTGTCACATAGATGAATGAGGTGTTTGATTCAACCTCAAGATCGTCCAGAGCAGTAACGAATGTTTTTGGCAGGACGTTATTGAAAACTTCCTCAATATCAAGGAAGATCCCAATAGAGAATTCCTTAAATCTAAAAGCTTCCTCAAGCCATGACACGATAGTATGCAGGGCAGTATCCATTGACTAGCCTTTGTAATAAGCATGTTACGCTTCTGAAAGATAGTTTCTCGGAATGCGCCTCCTTATTTACCAATTCATCAGTCCCTGCAGAGTTTTTAGTAAGAAGGAGGAGGCCCGTAACGTGGGAGCCCCTACCAGCCTTCGGGATGAAAAAATTTCAATAGCTTTTAGCCATAATAATTTAATTTTAATGGCACAAATAAACTCTTCCATARTTGAAGTGAAGTGAAGTGAAGGAACCGAAAAAGCTTAGCGGAACCGATTAACACGGAGCAAAGTCGCCTGTGCCTAAATCAATAACTATGAAAATTAATATGGAAAAAACTACAAAAATAAATAAAGAGCAAACAAAAACAAATGGGGAAAATAYAAAAATCACACACACACACACACACACCTATGGATGCACACGATTCGAATTGAAAGCAAAATGTAATAAATGACAAAAATCAATATAAGAAATGGAAAACCACATGAGCCACATTAGCTTTTCAACGACTGCAATTCAAATAAAGTGCAAGTGCAATGCTGGTTCAGCCATAATAACAGCGTTTAAAGTAACAATAAAAACAAACACACATRCACACATATACATATACAAATACATSTGCGAGTACATAAAGTAAGCAGCAGCGTTTAACTGCAATTGACCAAACGCTGGCGGTAGCTAATTTCATTTGAAGAATGTCATCTTCACTTTAAGTGAAAGAAGTTAACACATAACACTTGTCGCCACCGTAAAGGGAGCGGCTGTTGGTGTTGCTGAAGCTGAAGCTGTTGCGCTCTGCTTCGATGTGGTGTTGATAGCTGCTGCGCTGATAGTGTGGTGAGGACGTAAACGCAGCGGAAAATACTTTTATGTGTACACATATAGGGTGCTATTTTAGAGGTATAGTAGCTCTTTGTAGAATAATTATCAARTCAGCTGTCAGAGAAAACACATTCGTTTGAAATAAGGGCTTGCAGCTGTTTAAAGTTTAAAAATCTTCGAAATTCTTTGTTGRAAATTTATAAATCATAAGTGATAAGGTACGTTCTTGGTATAACGAGTACGTAGATAGGTAAATTTGGTATATTTTGAGCCGAAGGATCATGAAGAGACTCTCCGTTGCTTTAATAAAAAGAAAAAGTGAATTTTTATTTATAATTCTTTATTAGTCTTTAGGGGGAATGGGGTTCTCTATAAATAAACTTCTTTCTTCCCGACGTCAGAATCAATATTTGGTGCTTGGGATGGCCTCAGGAGTGCTATAATCGACGGACATACGCCTCTTATTCTCGAAATTCAATTCAGTGTCCAGATATTTCTCAATTCATAAATTTTTTTGTTTCCTCTTTTATATTTGTATCATGAACAGGGTATATGTATAAGGCTTGGAACGAAATTTTAAACACACAGAAGGCAACCTCGGAGACGTTATAAAATATCATATAGAAATGATCAGCGTTACGGACTGAGCTGACTTAGCCATGTTCTTCTATTCGTTTGTTTACATATACGCGAGCTAGTCTCTCAGTCTTTGAGATATCAATCTGAAATTTTGCAATGATCTTTTTCCCGAAGAAGAAGAAAAAGGCAAGACGGGGTTAACGTTTTTTCTTGTATAACTTATATATAYATATATTGGTAAATTTATTAATTTTTTTGAGCCTGATTCGAAAAATAGCTCCGTATCTCTAAAAGAACACCCTTTTAACACAAAAACACACATATACTCCGCCACWCTTAAGTACATTTGTTGCACTGCACTTAAGAGGCATTAGTGTTGCGGCTGCCATTGTTGAAGTGRCCACCTAGCGTCCAACGTCCACCARCAATTGCCAATTGCCATTTGTTTGATTGTTGTTATTATTGTCGATATTAATGGTGCTTAAAGCGTTGGGTTGCCTACATGCCGGCACTAATGTTACTGTTATTGTCGCTTCTGCACTTACGCCTGCACTTGCTGTTTTGTTTTTGTTGTCTGTGCGGTTTATGTTGTTGTTGCCACTGTGCACCTGCGCTTCCTCCATTCAATAAAAGTGCATAAAAATATCCACTAAACGCTGCGCTGCGTGCTTTTGCTTTGCTTTTCAGCTTAGTTGGTGGTAAAAACCTACCTGCTTTTGGTCGTCTTTTTGTTCGTCTGTTTGTCCCTCTGTCTGTCCATCAGTCAGCCAATCCATCTATCTGTTGATTTGCCTCTCAGTTGGTCGCCAAAGCTTTCGGTGGCTAAGTGAAACTAATGTTAATCACATTGGCGACGGCATGCCAAGTCAACTGAGTGACAATCAATGGACGTGCGTACGATAAGAGTTTTGCAGAGACTTGAGATTATATTAAGGTAGACTCTCAGGAGTTGCAATTTCGCGCTTAATAAGGTCGTTCACTGCCTTAGGGAGTTTTTTCTTGCAGTAGCCATAATTATTTCTTTTWTTTTTTTTTTTTTTAGGAAGGGTGTTGTTTACCTAGAGCCAACCATGGTCGTAGGAAAAACAATATATGAAGCCACAGTATGACCGAGATGGCAATGTGGTTCTTCGTAACTTGCTTTTCTGTCCCTAAATAAACTGTCCGATCATTCTGAGTTATAAGATGTTCTATTACCAGGTAGTACCGGTTCCGATAAACTTTTAAGCCAACGTAATAGCTGTGTTTCARCTGCTGATCCTTACCTTTTAAATGCCGCACTTATTTTATCCCCTAGCCAACTGATCTATCCTCATATCAGGAAAGTTTATAAGCCGAACAATTTATGAATCATTACGAACATACGACGATTCTGGTGATCAAGCGGCTACAGTTCATTTGATCTTGTAAGGATGTAGGCCAAGATATTTTTTGCAAAATTCGCCACAATGACGTTACAGAGGTGCCCAACGCTTGAGAACGACGTGTGAGAGACTGATTTGGGTCTTCCTCAATTGATAACGCTATCGGAAATAAAAAAATAAAAATAAAAAAATATAAGAAAATATTCTCGACACTACGGACACTTCTTTGTCTCACTGGCACGGGAACAGCCTACAGTGGATGATACCTTTTCAATCCCACCAAACACTCAACATAATCTTTAGTGGCGTCCATCCTGGCTTTGTGAGCATTTGTTGAGCTGCACCATGCTTGGACCATGCTCTTTTTCGCACATTATTGTCGTTTTTGAGCCACTTTTCGTCTCCTGTTACCCTTCGCTTCAGAAATGGTTCGTTTTCATTTCGTTTCAGGCCTCATAGATGTTAATTCGATCCATTAAATTTTTCACAGACAATTCATGTAGTACCCACACCTCGAGTTTCAAAAAGRATTGTAGCCAGGCTTTTTTAAATGGTTCAAAACCGTTTGAAAATAGATATACAATATATATAAATGTGTTCAAAAATAAAAAGAGAGTAGGTAAATTTTAAGGAGAAATGTCTAAATTTRTACGCTAAAAGAAATCACAGACTTTCTTGCGCTGATTTCAAATTTCGGTTCAACATCACTCTGAACCTCATCAAAAA